ATAACTCGCAATAACTCACGGAATAACTCACTCAATAATACTGTATAACTCACGGAATAACACCTCATGACTCACCGAATAACTCATTATAACTCAAGGAATAACACTGTATAACTCATCGAATAACTCACCAAATAACACTCAATCGACATCATCATCACCAGCTATATGTATGTTGGGGACATAAGAGGCTCAGAGCCTACTCGGACCACATAACTCACCACACCTCACCACAAGGGCATGGCTTTACAAATTGCCATAAGTCATGGTATAATTCGATATAATCCACTATAAATCACCTTAAACAAGTATAAGCCACTATAAGCCATATAATAGTCATCATAAGCCATTGTTTATGTCACTATATAAGCCACCATAAGCCAATATAAGCATCGATTTAAGTCAAGATGAACCAAGTTAAATTTTATACATCATTATAAGTGTAAACCACTGTAACCCATGATAATCAGCTTTAAGACATTATAAGCCAAAAAATAATAAGCCTAACCTATTCGTATAAGACATAACCACAATATATATAACTTTACAAACTAGTATAAGTGACTTGTAATAGTTTTTAAATCATAAATGTTTTTATATATAAATACGTGGTTTGTCAGGTTGTATCGACATGTGGACAGTGATAGGAGAGAGCGAAGGCCGCGAGGCGAGAGACGCCGAGGGCTCGCATGCGTATCTTATACTAACACAAGAAGATTCTAGTATGGTGAGTGTTTTAAATTACTTTTGTCACATTTTTATGTTTAAAAACCTAGTAAAATATAATAAAGTCATTTGTAACTGCTTGTTTATCTAAAAATTTTTTTGTAATTAGTTGAAATTTCTTAGTGAAATGAAGAAATATTTTCTGTATTGTTTAATGGTTACTTAAGCAGATTATTAGTGTAGATTTTTTAATTCTACACTACTACTAATACTGTAGGGTTCGCGTAATACCACGACCACACAGGAGACGTGAAGTGGAAGTAATTCCACGTACAGTCTGATAAGTTTGCGTGCTGGAGGACTTATTTTAGTATTTTTCTCGCACTTTTCTTACAAGGAAATTCATCCTATCCTGGGAAGAAAAATGAATTTGAGGGGTGGAGACGCGTAGGAAGGGGAGATATCCTTTTTATGTGCGTCTCCATTAGGCATTAGCAATTGATGTCTAGGTAGAAGTCGCTTCGCAATTTTGATTCAAGCGACTTACTCGTTACCTAGCCTAGCCTGGGTCTTGTGTCTGGGGTCTTATACCATGGAGTGGTGTTGCCAGATCCTGCAAACGGGTCAGGAGATCAACGAGGTGGATAACTCAGGGTTCATGACTGGCGCTCCCACCGTGTTCGCTGGCAACCTCGGGAACAACAAATACATGGTGCAGGTCACAACTACCGCGATACGACTTATTAGAAGTAATTACATTCTTACTAATATTATAAATAGTTTGGATGGATGTTACTACGTCCATAATGACTTAATGAATCTTAATGGTATATATGTAGAATATACTTTCGCAGTTAACATGAAAAGCCTTACAAATAAAGGCGGTATAAAGTTGAACTTGGAATAAACTTAGTATAAGTGAATATTAGTACAAATTTTGCTTATACTCGGATTATTCTTAAATTTAACTTTATACCGCCTTTATTTGTAACACTGGTAATATTTAAATCAAGATTAAATTTGCAATAATACAGTACTGAAACTATATTGCGATTAAACTCCAAATTCCATTAAAATTTTTATAGCCTCTCAGAATGTAAGCAGCGCTCACAAAGAAATTCGTTTCAGAATTTGGCCGATGTCTACGCATTTAATGTTACCCGATCGAAGAGGGCAATTATTTTCCCTGTTATAAATATTTTTGCGTGTATTTCTTAGTAGTAGCCTTTTTAAATAATAAATAATTTCGAGTATTATCTATAATAAAATGGTACATACAATATTCAGTAATGTGTCAAGATGCAACAAATACCGCTATGTGAGTGACCAGTATAACGTGGGCCGTGTTGTGCAGACGGCGTGCAGCTGCAGTCGATCCAGTTAGAGTGGGCGGCGGCGAGCGCGGCCGTGGCGGACCCCTACCTGTGCGTGCAGTCCGCGTGCGGCCGCGCCACCGTGCTCGCCCTCAGGGAGCTTCGCCCCCGAGACCCTATGGTATACAATCTATATCTATACTAATATAATAAAGCGTAAACACACACTTCTTTGTTGCCTAAGATGTTAGCAATTACAGCATATTTTTAAAATAATTCTTTTTTTAATAAAAACCCCTACATTTACATCACGCTTTATGCTTATATTTTCACGCTACTAAACTTAGAGGGTAAATAAATTGGATATAAAACCCCAAATGTGGGAAAGAGACTATAAGCTACGAGCTGCCAACATCACGGAAGCAAGATTGCATGAATTTAATTATTATTTTAATAATAAATAGAAATGGAAAATTACACACGGGCTGATAATATCATTTGTTGTTTATGGATTTATTTAAATCAGTATTTAAATTGAAAATAAAAACATATCTACTAATATGTCTGTATATCTTACTAATATTATAAAAGCGAAAGTTTAAATGGATGGATGTTTGGGTATACTCTGGAAGAATACATAGGCTACTTATTTTTGTTTTTTAATTCCACGCGGACGGAGTCGCAGTCGAAAGCTAGTAGCTTTATAAAGGTAATATCTAGATAGGTTTATTATGATTTCTATTGAATTTGATTTCAAGTTGAATTTCGTTAAAACTAATTTCAAATACTTAGGGCCTGTCCCATCAGTGGCTGATAAAGGCTCAGATAGCCTAAAAGTCACTGTCAGATAAGGGAACAAAATCCGATATTTCCATCCCCTAATACCCTTAATTTTGTATATAATACTAAGAATACATCTATTATCTATCTTTACTAATATTATAAAGAGGAATTGTATTTATTGAAATAACTCAAAAACTACTGGGTCATTTACAAATATTCTTACACCATTAAAAAGCTACGTTATCAGTAACATAGGTTTTTTAATTTCACACAGACACGAGCAACAGCTAGTATTAATATAAAGAGAAAGATTTGATTTTTGTATATATTGAAATAACTCAAAAACTACTGGGTTGATTTGAAAAATTCTTTCACTATTAAACAGCTACAACTATAGGCTGTATTTAATTTCGGGTGGACAAAGTCGCGAGCAATAGGTAGTATTGTAAATTGGCCGCATTGCCCCAGTCCGCCCGCCTGGCGCCCACGCGGCAGGGCGTGCCGGCGCGCCCGGCGCTGGTGCGCGCCGTGCCCTACCGAGACCTCAGCGGCTTGTTCACTTCCACTGACGTTATAGAGAATGTACAAGTTAGTATATCTTTCTTACTAATATAAATGCGATAGTTTATATGGATGGATGTTAGAGTTTGTAGCCTTAACCACTGAACGAATCTTGATGATATTTCGCACAGATGTAGAGTATAGTCTGGAAGAACACATGGGCTACTCACTTTTGTTCATTTTAAATCAGAGTCGCGGGTGAAAGCTAGTACTAAATATTATAAAAAGAAAGATTTGGATTTTTGGATTTTCGTATGTGTTAACAAAACTCAAAAACTACTGGGCCAAATTCAAAAAAATATCATTAGAAAGACTGATCTGTAATAGGCTATATTTTTTGTTTGTTTTTTAAATGCGGATAACAACGCCAAAATATTAATAGAATTTTAATTAAAGCTTGGAATTATCAGTATTTAGCCCAGTATGATTTTGGTATCCTAAGACCAGCTCACGATGTACCCACTGAGGGGCTTGGAGCCTATCCTAAGTTACTTCACATATATCTTTGAATTTCTCCCCGATATGTACATCACTATGTTTTCCTTTACGGTAAAACATTGGTACATTGGTTATCGAACCCAGAACCTGTAGATTACAAGTCAAGATCTCAAACCCCTGAGCCCACGCTCTCGATTTTCTTAAGAATTATTATAATTATAATTTTTCAGTATTTAAAAAAAAATGTGTAGTGTAGTATATATATTATGTGTTTAATAATGAGTTTTTGTAACAAATAACTTGAATTTTAGGTGAAAGGTGAATTCTCAGGTAAGATGAAAGGTAAGAATGTGAAAGCGGAAGGTTTCAAACCTGGTGCAGTATACGAGCTGAATGATGAAGACGAACTGCTGTACGGAGGAGATCAGACACCTGCTTCTATGGCTAGTGTGAGTATAAGCCACTTAATAATTCACTATATAAGTCAGCATAATTAACCTTGAAATTTAAAATATAAGATTATTAATTATTTATTATATAAGTCAGATAATAAACTTATTATCTGACTTATAAGCCACTTAATAATTTACTGTGTAAGCCATCATATAAACAGTCTTGTAAGTCACTATATAAGTCACTGTATTAAAAGTTATTAAATAAATTACTGTATACACTTTACTGTTCTATTTATAATAATATTATAAAGTGGAATAATTTAATTTTGTATGTATTGAAATAACTAAAAAACAAAAATTCTTCCACCATTAAAATTTACGTTATGATTACAAAGGGTATTTTTTTTTGTTATGTTTTAATTTCACGGAAACGAAGTCGCGAGCAACAGCTAGTTTAAAATATTCCTATGCCAAATAGTTGACAGGTAAAGGTTGTGTCTTGTTACTAACAGATAGCGTTTGAATATGTTTGTTTTGTATATATCGACGGGTGAAAGGTTATGTTTCAACCGCCATTTTAAGCGATATTGACTTATATATTCAGAATCGGCGAATTTTAAATATGAAATATGTAGTATTATAGTAATTTCAATCTAGAACCGGTCTGAAAATCTTTCAATTGATATTATTTTCAGGATTTGCTTTTATGTTTTTTTTTACTAAACATCATCCACTTGCCCTTATTCCTTAGGGAGGGTCGGCTCAGTATGTGCTCTTCCATACATCTCTATCAGCCGTCATATCTGAATCCACTCCTTTCTTAAGCATATCCTCTTTCACACAATCCATC